GACACCAGAACTGCACACAGTGCTGCAAGTGAGGTCTCACGAGAGCAGAGCAGAGGGGCAGGATCACCTCCTTCAACCTGCTGGTCACGCTCCTTTTGATGCAGCCCAGGATACGGTTGCTTTCTGGGCTGTGAGTGCACACTGAAGCCGGCTCATGTTCATTTTCTCATCGACCAACACCCCCAAGTCCTTCTCCGCAGGGCTGCTCTGAATCTCTTCCTTGCCCAGCCTGTAGCTGTGCCTGGGATTGCCCCAACCCAGGTGTAGGACCTTGCACTTGGCTTGGTTAAACTTCACTGAGGTTGGCATTGGCCACCTCACAAGTGTGTCAAGGTCCCTCTGGATCCCATCCCTTCTGCTTTATTCTGTCATTTCACCCGTGGTGTGGAGTAGCATTCACACCACAACATATACTCCAAAATACCACAATGCTTTTTTCAGGCATGGGACAAAGTGATTTATGGAGAGGACTGCTGCCAATTCCAGAACTTACAAGGTCTGGTACACCAAGCTGAGTATACCTGCTGATCCATCTCTGTACCTAGAGAGCTAAATGCCTATTCAGTACTAGGATTTTGCTTCAGCTAATGAGACTGAGTATACCTGTGTACATCTCAAGGCACCGATTCCAGTTTGCAGCAGAAAAACACCTACTCTTCCAAGCAAAGAATTGCATAGAGGAAGGTCGCTAGCATAAGGAGGTTCTTATTTTCTTTAAAGCACAAACTTTAAATCCACTGAAGCATGAAACCAAGTTAAGAGTTTCCCCCTGTGTATTCTGATGTATTCCAGTTTGAGAATTCTGGCTTTCACAGGTCCAACCTGCTAAACACCTCTCCATTTCTTATCTGTTTCCTCACAGTGAAGAGGGTCTGCCTTTCTTTTTCTTATTCCCACAGATCGTGAAGGCTTTTTCTGCCTTCATGAGCTTTTAACATCCCCACCTTGGTGAGAAATCAAACATGCAAGCATCTGGATTTATAGGGTTGTGGCCAGAAAGCATCAGAGCACAGATTTCTTTCTATGTTCTCTCAGCCCTTTTTTAATCTCAGTCTGAGACATTCTTTGTTTTCTCTGGAGTCAGGGCTAGCCCAGGGAACAGTGGCAGGGTGCTCCGAGGTCAGGCTGATTGTGTAAGGTGCACTGTGCTGCTCCAGAAATCGGTTAGCGATTCCACCATGAAATCTTTTTAGCTCTGCACTGACAGCTTTGCCCAAACAAGGAGGAAGATGGTCTGCACTAGAAGAGTGACAATGTTAGAAGACCCAGCACAGAGATACCTTTCTTATCCTATATAATTACTTTGTGCATTAATCATGGGAGGTAACGGGGCTGATGCCATGCCTATAAAAGCAGCAGCAACTGCAGAATTATTTAGTAACTATACAAGAGCTACATATCCCTAAGCAATTCATAGCTGTAAATCAACAATTCAACAGTGGCAGCTATGTAAGGAGATGCTCAGTGCTACACATTGCTATGGGTTACATGGTATGTAACAATGAAAAACCTCAGAGAGGGCCCAGCTTTACCAGCTCCATAAGCTGGTTAAATAAGAGAGATTACCTCTTTGTACAGACCTTGCTTGGAAAATTAAAGCTTTGTTTACACTTGATTTCTTAAGCCTTGGTGAGCCTTTTTGCATAGCTCTCTAACGTGACCATTTTGCAGTAGTGCACACGGGAGGGCGGGATGTCTAACTGGTGTGGTCTGTGGCTTACCCACCTGTGAGTAAGTCGCAGTAAAGATACTAATGCCGTTGATTGATAGGCAAGTCTTGGGAGCAGACAAGCCCCACGTTTCCTGAGCATTACTAAATACAGTAATTCCCCAGGGAATGTGCAACAGTAGGGGTATTAACCCCCACATTAAGACCAAATTCCAAAGTACAATGGTTGTGCAAAGCACATGAATTCTGTCTTTACTGGCATCCCTTCTCCCTGTGCAGCTTAGAAGCAAGGAGAGGAAGAAAAGGCAGGAGTTGAAAGTTACATGCCCTGTTGTGCTGGGTCAGGCTGTCGCTGGTCTAAAAGCAGGACTGAACCCGCAGCCAGCACTGCGATAAAAACAAAACCAGTGTGCAGCACATGCAAGCCAACAAAGCAATTCAAATGGCTGGTGTTTTATATCAACCAGTTCAGTGTTTAGCCCCGCAGCCAGTACAACACGTCGCTTTTCTGCACGGCGGAGTCATCTGATGTTTGCTTTCACTTCTGGAAGGCTGGGGAGGGGCGGCGTGAGTCAGATGTTCCCGCAGCTGGTTCGTGCGTGGACGAGGCCAGCAGGGACCCTGACTCACCAAGAGCTGCTCCATTTCCTCCTACAGTTCAGGTCAGGGGCTGGAAACGCAATCGCGGGCTGGGGCGGGAGGGGGGGGAACCCGGCAAACGCTTCTGCTTTGTGACTGCGGTCGAGCGGAGAGACGCCCCCCTCACACACACACACTCCGGGTCTCTGCGCCCGCGGCTACCGCCGCCCCTGCGCGCCCCGTCGGCGGGCGGTGAGCGCCGTCCCCCCCTTACCTCAGTCGCATTCCCCAGCGAGTGAGCTCAGCTTCGCGCAGCCTCTCTCCTTTTATGGTCAAACAACTTTGCCTGGGCGAGGCTTTTTTGGTGAGTTGTCGGCAGCGGCGAGGCTCGGCCGCTGCTCTCTCCCCCCCCTTTCCACTGCCGCTGCTTCCCCGGCCGGGCTGGGGGCAGCACAACCTCGCCGGCTCCGGGTGCCGCGTACTCCCCATCGCCGTCCCCAGAGGTGAGTCCCTTCTCTGGGCTTAGCGAAGAAGCTTTTGTCTGCAGCGCTGGGGCTGGCGTTGAGCAAGTGCTGGGGTGCCTCCGCGTCCGGGGAGAGGGCGCGTTTCCTGCCGGGAGGGTTGCTCGCCGTGCGCCAAGTGTCTCTTTCTGGTCGATGGACGGTGCGCAGAAGAGAGGTTCGGGGGATGTGTGTGCCTTGGTGAGCTTCCTTTCCTCCCAGTGAAATGGAGGCAGCTCCGGTGTAGCTGCAGCAGTGGGGGATGGGGGAAGGTGTTGCTTGGTTTTATTCGGGACGAGCTCTCTTTTGTGTGCGTACGGGACACCTATGGAGTGGTTTTTCCCAGATGTGCTTGAGAGAGAGGAAGCTGGGGCTCTTTGTGCGTGAAGTTTGTTTCATTCGGGAGGTTTTGCCTCTCTGGGAGTGCCCCGAGGAAAGCGGAGGCGCAAGTACTTGAAAGTCGCAGAACTTCCTCACGTTTTGAATGTGTTTGCATGGCTTTTGGGGGTTTTAACTCCCGTTTCCCCCTCCGTGCGTAGGGAGGAGGCAAGCCCAGGATGTGTGGGAGACCTTTGTAGATCTGAATGTCCCTCTCCCAGTCCGGTTGTTTTAAGGCTCTACCTTGCAGCTCGCATAGCTGATAGAACTTTGCTCTCTTTGAAGCTTTGTAACTTCGGGCCAGGCTGGGAGAACTTTCTGGAATTAGTCTGTATGAGGGAATGAAGGTAACCGTAGCTCCTTTATCTGTTTAATCTGTTCACTACGTAGTCTGTGTTGTTTGCTATAGTTTTCTTTCTGACTCCCGTCGGTTGGGAGGAAGCTGGCAAATAGGGGAAGTAGACAATGCGGCGTGTCAGCCCACAGTGCTGGGCCGGCTTTTATGGGGGCTGCCTGTGTGACTGGAGCCGAGCTGCTTTCTACCAACAGAGGGGGAAAAATAACACTGAGCTCTCTGTTTCCTCCCACTTTTGCTACCCCGGAAAAGTAGCTGAGTTTTTGGAAGCGGTGTCAAAGAGCTGAAAGCTGTCTGGGTACGCAAGAGGTGGCAGACCCACCATGGGACCTTCTGGGAGGTGACCCTGCTGCTGAAGGAGGTGTCACTGGGATTTGTCCTACTTCTCCTTGCTCTCTGTTAGAGAGGAGCAGTGTATGAGGCAACCAAGTATCCTGACTGTGTCCTTTGGGGGCATCTTTCTTCATAGCTCCACTAGAGTCATCTTAAATGCTGTGACAGCAGGAAGAAAAAATCTCTCCCCTGAGGGGGAAATGTGAGGACAAGAAGGATTTGAGATGAGGTCTGCTGGTGTAACACTCCCTCCCCAATAGCTGTTAAAAATAGCGCCACAGGACTTGCATAAGCTCTGTGTTTCTTGTAAGGCTTAAGTGGTACTGTACCTACTTGAAAGGTACAGTACTGTTGGGTACTTAGGTGGTACCCGAGGCTGTGGGTGTTTCTGCGAGGCCAGCAGCCTCTGTCAGCCTGTTTGGCCTGGGTTGTGTGGACAGATAAACAGAAGTGAGGATGAGCAGGGGCAGCTGCTGGATGGGGATGGCTTGAAATACGACATGACATACTGGGAAATGGGCTGCTTTGGGTTAAGGGAGGTAGCAGCTGCTGGCAGCAAAGCCAGCCTTCTTTTTGTGAAGCAGCTGATGTCCCAAGGCTGCTTTTGTGTTGACTAACCTCAGTATGGGTCATGATCAGAAGGGACATTGTCACTGTGGTGTTCTGCTTCTAGTGATGACAATTCTGGTAGAACTACTACCGGGTGGTTCATTACACCATAGTGAAATGGTGGGGCGTAATGCTGAACTCCATAAAGAAAGGCTGGAGGTCTTTTCATCAACTTCTGTAGCTCAGTGGGCAGCTGCAGACTGGAGGGAGTTGGCCGGTTCCTTCTGACTTGCAAGTCTATTGACCCCTACAAGTCTGAGGGATCGAGGACAGACCTCGCTTATTAATCCTCTGCGATGACCCTTTCCCATGCCGGATCATGTGGGTGATGCTCAGCGCAGCTTTTTGGCTCCTGCTTATTGTTGCAGCCTCTTCCTCCTCTTGAAAAGCCCAGAAAAGTTTGTCGAAGCCTGTGCAATTCATCAGCTCTGCACAAAGGGAACAAAAAGTGCAGCAGCATGTACTGAACGTTTGTCTATGTTGTCACACGCCTGTGACCTGGAGAAGTGTAACATTTAGGTCTTGCAGTGCTGTACTGAATCGTGGGAGCTCTTAGAACGGGGGCAGGCGGATCTTATCAGCAGCCGTGGGTGATGTTTGTGGCACCAGGGCTATCTGTCCCAGCTGCTTTTATTGTCCGTGTGAGAGAAGCCGGCAGTGTGGAGGGGCACTGATTTGAACATTGGCACAGAGCCGCTGTGCTGGGGGAAGCGCTATTGTTCTGGGGTGTTAGGAGGACTATAGGCATGCCGGGCTTTACAACAAAGCTTCTGGCTGCGTGGAGATTTCTAGCACGGATAAGATTCCTGGCTTGCATTGCTGGGCTGAGGGAATCCTAGAAATGTGGCTGTCATCCTGAGCCCTGCGGTTCCCGAAGCAGCCGGCTTGGCGGGGCTGTCGTCTGGCTGTTCCAGCCCGGTGATGGGGAGGAGTGAGCGCGGAGGGTTGCTATGGCCCCCCTGCTGCAAGCGGAGCGCCGGCCTTTCGCAACCCCACCGCGCGTCCTTGCGCAGCGCAGGGCCGAGCCCCGGTGCAGCGGTGCTGCTGCCCCTCTCGCAGCCCCCGGGCACGGGCGGAGCGGCGGCCGCAGCCCAGGGCTGCTTCCTGGCGGGGGCAGGAAGGAGGGGAAAGGGGGGGCGAGATCCGGGGAGGTGACAACGGGAGCTCCTCAGCCGGGCCGTGCTGCCGCCGCTGCCTGCAGCATGGAGAGCTCCGGAGGTAAGGGACGGAGAATGCGAGGGGTGCGCCAGGGTCGGAACGGGGGGAGGTTACCGGGGCTGGCACAGGCAGAGATCGAGAGGAGCCTTTTGGTGTTATTGGGTAAGTGGGGGAGAGGAAATGCTGATTCCAGTGCTGGAAGAGCACGTATGGGGGCACCCCTTAGGGTGTGTGTGTGCTGGGTAACACACGTTCTGGTGGCCCACTGCTGTCCTCTCCAGCATGCTGTGTGCAGGGTTCTCGTGCAGCAAAAAGCTTGGGTTTCTGTGTAGCTGGAAGCCCTTTGCGGTTAATGCCATACTGAATTGAAATGATGAAGCGTGCTGTCGCAGTTTCTGTTCCTCCTTTTTCCTGTGCTGATGCTGGAAGTGCTCTGTGCTCTCTGTGCACCTCAGCCTCTGGATGAACTTAAACTTCTGTAGCTATTTCATGTGTTTCTGTCTATAGATTTCCATTTCCACTCTGGCCCAAGGCTGTTTTCATATTGGTTTCTTCCCTTTTTTTCCTGCCAGGAGCTGAGAGGATGGCCTCCCAAGGTGCCCCGGGGACCCGCATGATATCCGCAGTCAACATCAACATTTCTACCCCTTTCTTCTACAATCCGCAGAAGAAGTTTGCACCCGTGGTTGCCCCTAAACCCAAGGTGAACCCCTTCAAGACTGGGGATGCATCAGAGCCACCACTGCCCCCGCCTCCTGGAGCTGGCGCCCAGCGTGCTCAGATAGGGAAGGTGGGGGAGATTCCACCAGCAACCATGTCCCTGCTGCCAGAAGGTAGGTGAGGGCTGCCGTGGCAGATAGTGCATTTTTAAATTCCAGGGGTGTGAGGTTTGGAACAGGGCTAAACATGAGAGCAGAGGCATCTCTGCTGCCACGTGATGGATATTCTTGCCGTAGAGGCTGGCAGGTTCCAGAATGAGATGAGGCGGTTGTAAAGGGATACCAAAGCACATAGAGCCTGCATTAAGAATGGAAGCTGGATGGCAATCCTGCATTGCACTGGTGCTAGAGGAGTGCAGTGGATTGTTTTATTGTCTTTTTTATAGTATTCCCTGAGTGCATAATTGTGTAACTGCAGTCAGTTTCTGGCCAGCATGTCTGGGAGCGAGTATGTTGCAGGCAACTTTATCCTGATGGTGGTGAATCATGCTGTTCTCCTTGTTGATTCATCTGAGCTCAAGCTGGTTGTCTCTGATTATAGAGATCCTTCTCATGGGCTCTGCAGTTGCCATCTTCACTGCTGCTGGGGATGGGGAGGAATGAAAAATGGCATGGAAAACTGGTGGAAGCTGTCAGAAACAGCTCTGTATGGCTTGTAGAGTTTTACACTTCTGCCTAGTGGTTTGGGCTGGGTGTGTTTTCCTGTGCAGAGTCACTTCTTGTAGCGTGGTTTCCTTTCTCTTTTTCTTTCTTATTTCCTGTGCTGGTGGTGTGTTTGGTTGGTTGGATTTGTGTCCTCTGACAAGCAGAGGGGTCCTGGTTGTGTGGCTCCCTACTTAGAACTGATCAGCATGGGGCTAGCAGAAATTTCTCTAGGGACCTCTTGCTAATGCTTGATGCTGTGCATTAGCCCAAGACTCTCACCAGGCTGCACCTCAGCCAGGACATGCATGTTCAGATAACATTAACTACCGTTGTAGATGCCTTTCACTGTCTGGTATAGAGTGTGCAGCACTGATGATTCCTAGGTTGGCAGCTGATCTGTAAGAAGGCAGGTTCTGTGCTCAGAAGAGACAGGTTATGAAGCCACAAGTCACAAGGGTCAGCACGTTGGTGTTTTTGTTTCCTCGAACTGCACCAGCTAACTGTGACCTTCTTCCTCTTACATTGTTGGGGGTTTTGCTATAGTTGTGTGGATTAGGGGTGTCTTTGGGAAGGTCTCAAACTGACACAAATATGTAATTTGAAGTACAGAAGTAGACGGATGCTAAAAATTACTTTTCAATGCAGAATGCAATTGGAGTATTAGGTGTTTGCTTCGCTTCCTTCCTTCCTTATAAATCTTACTATGGAGGAACTAATGTAACAGAAAGATTAGCAAAAGGACCATTGGGCTCAAGCTGCTGGCACCATTGGGTGAGGGCTGCCAGCGAGACATCTGAAGTACAGGTGAACCACCAAAACTCAGTCATGAGAGAAATGCATCTGACTTGATCCTTCTCTGGTGCATCTTTTCAATCCTGTCCCTTTCTTATACACTCATCAAACAAATAGTAGTATAACAAAGCCATAGTGATTGGTCTCTTTGTCTTAAACAACAGGATGGCTAAGTTAGTGTTGCTGTAGGCATGTTGTATTTAGTATTGATCACTATAAATCTGGTACAGTAGATTTGTGGGGAACTTTTTTGTTTGTATGAATAATTCATAAAACAGGCTTTTAGTGCATCTAAAACAATGTGACAGCAGATCAGGGCTTTGATTCTGCAATATTCTTTAGCATTTTAGTAAACCAAAAGGCAAGCATATACAGAACTTGAACCCAAACTGTAGTTTCAAAGGAAAAAATACCAGCCTAGTATTACTTCCTCCGCCAAGCAGAAGTTCTGCTTCACAAGAAGGTTTGGAAGAGGTGCTGCATACCAGTGCAGTTTATGCATTCCACTAGCTAATTAAGATTTTGGATTTCATTTTGTGAAAGGGCAGCATTGTCTCCCTTAGGTTACATATGAGAAGTCCTCATAAAGTCTGTTGACAGTAACTGGATATAAAGATGGGACAGTTCAATTACTGCTGTTGAAAGTTGCACATGGAGTAGCAGGAGTGAAAAACGTCGTCTTTCACCCCACTGCTGGTTGGGGCTAGCTAAGGGAGAGAGATGGATGTATGAAAGAGGGGATGTAGAAGTTACGCCTCCTTGTCTTCAGTGTTCTTTGCTGCTTGGATGATAAGAGGGCAACTTCTTCCATCCATGGTGAAGGCAAGAGTATTCATGTTTATTTGCATGTGGTGTAGTGGAAAATGTCTCTTTTTCCTGTTCCACATCTTTGGCAAATATGCATAGGTAGAAGCAGTGGGGTTTTCTTATAGGAGATTGAGGCACTCTGGTGCTTTTCAGTTCGCTTAAAAAGGGTTCTTCAAAATCTCTCGTGTCCTCATGTGTGTTGGGGAGGTTTTAGCTTCCACAATGAAAGATGTTTTAATTTCCTAGAAAAACAAAGCAGTTTCAAAGATTCCTCATAGGCATACGGTTTAGTTGGTCCAACTTGCCTTGTTTTCCTCCCTCTTGCTTCTCATAGTTCTTACTAGGCAGCTGTGAGGTGCCAGCTTATTTTCCTGTAATAGTACTGCTTCTTCAGGGTCCTGGGTTATCCACTGGTACTCCTCCTAATGTTGCTCTGTATTTAGCAATCTGAGCCAGGTACTGGCAAGAGAAACATGTGCTAGGGACCAAGAAATGAGAGGAGGGGCGAGAAAGGGCATAGTAAGACACGTTTCCCAATTATACAATAACTATTCCCAGTAACTAATTGCAGTAGGTTACGAGGGAAGTTCTTATGATGGCAAATAGCTTTAGACTAGGTGAAAGCCAGCCTGTGGAGTTCAATTGTCCCTGATGGGGTCCCTTGAGTACTTGGGAAGTACTTGCTTTTAATACCTCCAAGACCCTTTTTGGGGTTTGTGCTGTAAGAAATGATCCAAACTTGCTTTTGCTCTCGTTCTTCCCCACAGACCTGCCGCTGCCACCTCCCCCACCACCTGGAGAGGAGGCAAGCTTCTCAAACTGTGCTTTTCCCCCACCTCCACCCCCCTTCGAAGAGCCTTTTCCACCAGCCCCAGAAGAGGTTTTCCCTTTGCCGCCACCACCACCGATGTTCGATGAAGGGCCGGTGAGCAACGTACCTGCCCCTCAGGTGAGTGTGGTCAAGGGAAGTATAGTTCTTTGTGATGCTCTGTGAGCTGGGACAGCTTCTCACTACTGTCTGAACTCAGCAGCAGGAAGCTCTGAGATGTGGGAAAGCAGAAAATGCTATCGCCCTACAGACCAGCATAGGTTAGGGTCAACTGGCTAGGCTGCAGCTCTCTGCAGATGAAGGACCTGGTGCTCCTGATGGACAGCGAGTTGAGCGTGAGCCAGCAATGCACCCTTGTGACAATAAAGGCCAACCACAGTTGCTGGACTGCAGTTGTGAGAGTGTAGTCAGCATGACAAGGACAGCGATGGTTCCTCTCTCTGGTTCTAGTGAGGCTACATCTTCAAAGACTTTCCAGTTGAGCTCCCAATGTAATTACTCAGAGGAATAAAGAACTAGATGCAATCCAGCGAAGGGTCATAGCAGTCATTGGGGGTTGGAGCTGAAGAGAGAGAGCTGGGTTTGTTCAGCCTGCAGAAGAGGAGGCCGAGGCAGGGATCTAACTGCAGCCTACTATACCTAAAGGAGGGCTGGAGAGAAGACACATTCTTCTTACTGGGGCACAACAAGAGACAATGGACACAAGCTGCGGCAAGGGGAATTCCTTTTGGACAGAAGAAAAAGCTGTTCTTCTCCAAGGATGGCTTAACACTGGCACAAATGCCTGGAGAGGCCGGGGAATCTGCATCCTTGGGGATGTTCAGAAATGACCTGGACAAGGCCCTGAGCCACCTGATCTAGCTTGTTAGCTAGAGTTAGCCCTGCTGTGAGCAGGGTGTTGGACAAGAGACCTCCAGATGCCTTTTTCCCTCCTAAATCTGTGAGTTTCTTTGGGCTGTGCATTTTCCCACTGTTTGTAGACCTTGGAGCCTGTGCCCTGTTCATCCTCACCAGCTTGCTCTCCATTCAAAGCAAGGAGCAGCTCTGTACCACAGTCCAAAGCACAAAAATCTGCTCTTGTAAGGGGGTACACCTGGTTCTCTGGCTGTTCCTGTAACATGCTCTGCTCCCTCTTTCCTCATGGATGGTGGTGTAGGAACGTGGCAAGATGAGCAGCGTTGATCTTGAGATTGAGTCACTGTCCATAATGTTGGATGACATGGAGAAGAATGACCCCTTCAGACCCCGGGTGAGCTCTCCAGGATGTTGGAGGTGGAAGGAGAGATGACTGGTTTGCTGAATGGAGGTAGTGAAGATAATAATGTCTGGATAAACCGTAGTGCAAAAGTGAATGTGAAGGACCAGAAAGCACAGATACTACAGCTTGTCATGACTCCTAAAGGTGTAACAGTGTGGAAACTCTTTAACACCGTGGGTCTGGGGTAGCTGCTGACACTGCTATAGACAGCATATTTTCTCTTCCACCTTGCTGACAGCTGCCTGTTTCTCTCTGTTGCTTCCTTTTACAGATATCTCCAGGATCCACAGGTTCTCTGGAGAAACCATCAGCACCAAAAGCCCGTGTGGAAGTACCGTCTGCATCCAAAGATACTCCTCTTTCCTTTCCTTCCAAGTTCACTCCAAAGCCAAGTGGAACCTTATCTTTCAAACCCCCTGGGTCAGATTTGACCCCAGCCCCGTGGGCAGCCCCACAGCAACGCAAGGAGCCCCCAGCACCAGTCCCTCCACCACCTTCTCTCCCTTCTGCTCAGCCTACCCCTACATTCACCCCACCTAAATCTGTTGCTGGCTCTCCTAAATCTGGGTCCAAACCAAGTGCCAGTGTTTCCATGGCTCCATCAAACTCTGCAAGATATCCTACCTCCCTTCAGACTCAGTTCACAGCCCCTTCACCTTCAGGTCCCTCCTCTCGGCCACAACCTCCCAATTTCACCTATGCCCAGCAGAGGGAAAGACCCCAAGTGCAGGAGAAGCAGCGTCCAACAGAGCAACCTGCTGCTGCAAAAGACACGGTAGGGGACAGAGCCATGGGATCAGTGCTTTTGGGTGGGCATCGCTGGGAGTGAAGTTGGACAATGAGGAGGGAGGGTCTGTCCCAGGCTAGAGGAGGCTGTTACCCCTCTGAAAGAGCTGTAGCTAGAGGCAGTTGTGGACAGGGATAGGGTCCTGCAAAGGGGAAACACTTTTTAGCAGGTTCTTTTGCAGCAGGACAAGAGACAGTGGTTTTAAACTAAAGGAGGGGAGATTCGGGGTGTTTTTACAATGAGGGTGGTAACACTGGCACCAGTGGTTGCTCAGAGAGGTGGTGGATGCACCATTTGTGGGCATATTCAAGGCCAGGCTGGATGTGATTCTGGGCAACCTGATCTAGTTGAGGATGTCCCTGCTCGTTGCAGGTGGGTTGGACTAGAAGAGCTTTGAAGGTTCCTTCCAACCTGAACTATTCTATGGCTCTGTATGTGTCCTCAGGGATTGAATGTTTCCTCTTCCTGCAGCATAGACCCACAGGCTCCAGTGCTGATCCACCTAGGGGAAATTCCTGCCTGACTATGAAGGAGGTAGAAGAGCTGGAGATGTTGACCCAGAAACTAATGAAGGATATGGAGCATCCACCCACAGTAGAGGCCGCTACTTCTGGTGTGTTCCTTCCCTCCATAGCAGTAGGGCTGTGAGGGGTTTTCATTTCTCCTAATCCCTTTCTTCTTCCATTGACAGAGCTCTGTGGCTTCTGTCGGAAGCCTCTGTCACGAACCCAGCCAGCTGTGAGGGCCCTGGACTGCCTCTTCCATGTGGAATGCTTCACCTGCTTCAAATGTGAGAAGCAGCTGCAGGGGCAGCAGTTCTACAATGTGGATGAGAAGCCCTTCTGTGAGGACTGCTATGCTGTGAGTTACATGGATGAGGGAGCTGAGCTTGTTGTGCTTGCTGTGTCTTGTTTTCCCCTCCCTCCTTCCACCTCGCCTGTCTGTGGCATAGCCTCCTAGGGGTGTTGGACTGGATTAATGTGTCTTACTTGTTTCCTTTGGGCTCAGGGGACCTTGGAAAAGTGCAGTGTCTGCAAACAGACCATCACAGACCGGATGCTGAAGGCCACTGGTAATTCGTACCATCCCCAGTGCTTTACCTGCGTGATGTGCCATACCCCTCTTGAAGGGGCTGCTTTTATTGTGGACCAGGCCAACCAGCCTCACTGTGTGGATGACTACCACAGGTACGGAGAGAGTATGTGTGTGTGGTGTCTGAAAGAAGGCAGATTCCCTCACAGCTGTTTAATTCTGCTGCACAGTGGGATTGGGTTGCCTGTGCAATCAACAGATGTTGAGTTAAAAATGAGTCAACAATGTACCTTATAGCAATTAGGTCTTTTCCCACTTAAACTTCTTTGTGATTTATTACTCCTCTGCTGCTCATAGCGTTATATGGCAGTAAGAAATGTTCATTGACTGCCACCACAGTGGCCATGATCCCCTCCCTGTTTCTGTGTGTTGCAGGAAGTATGCTCCACGCTGTTCAGTCTGTAGTGAGCCCATCATGCCAGAGCCTGGGAAGGATGAGACAGTGCGTGTTGTGGCCTTGGAGAAGAATTTCCACATGAAATGCTACAAATGTGAGGTAAGCTTGGTGGCTTCCATGCTCATCACCAGCAGCTGGACCTCTTTGTTGTCTCTCCTGACTAAACACTAAGGTTGTTTTGAATTAATCTGGAGCATTTTCGAAGCAGATTCAGAAAAGGATAAGACATTCAGTGACCACAGGTCCATGAAGAAGGTTTATGCAGGGTTGTAGTCTCTAACGTCTCTAATACAGCAGCTGTGTATACTGTGGGAACATGTTGGAATCACAGAAGGGGCTTGCTGTTCCCTCAAAACAGTATCTCCTGTTAGCACCACCAGAGACAGAGCAGGGGGCTGTGAGCCATTATGCTGAGCCAGTGGGGGATTTCTTACATCCTTGAATGCATTCATCCTGCTGTTGGCCATCATTGAGCTGCCTCCCTCTTTTTTTTCCCTGTTTAGGACTGTGGGAAGCCCTTGTCCATTGAAGCAGACGAGAATGGGTGCTTTCCACTGGATGGGCACGTGCTGTGTATTAAATGTCACACCGTTCGTGCCAAAACAGCTCGCTGAGGAGCTTGTAGTGGGTGTTCCCTTGAGACCCCTGCACTCAATACTCTTCCCCTCCCCGCATTGTCCTATCCCTCTGCCTGAGAAGGCAGATTGCTACCATTGGAGACTATGCCAGCACAGCTCTTTACTTATGTAGGATTCACTGCTCCTAGACTTCTGTCTGCACACCCACCAAGCAGGTACCTCTCCTCCTGTTGCCACGTCCTGGCCACCATGTATTCCAGGCTGGGGCTGTGATGGTGAGTGCACAGTCTCTGTTCCCTCAAGACTGGAGGAGAAAGACCAGACCTCCACCACCGCCTGGTGGAAGTGGCAAGAATGACCTGATGGCAGGTGCTGGGAGGGGCTGAGCATCATTCTGTGCCACGGAGCCAAGAGTGGCCATTTGACCTTAGAAAGTGGAAGCCTCTATCTCAGTACTGCTTCTGTCTTCATTTGTTTTTCCCTCTTGCTCTTCCTTTCACGATGGGGAAGTCTTGCCCTACCCAATCCCTCGCTCCTGGGTTAGGGTGTGGAGGCAGAACATACTGGGAATCCTTGTTATTGTTGCTGTGAAAAGCTAACCTAGCATAGCTTTTCTGTCTCTAATGGATTTTACTGGCTGTTTCGTTACATTTGATTTCCCCCTTAGCCAGATTAAACTGGCAGCGTTTGGAATCCTGCTCTATTCCCGAGTTTGGAAAGTTGTTTTCCAGTCTTTCTCCCTCCCCAGAATGAGTCACTTCCCAGTGTGTTTGCTGGGCAACCAGGCTGGGCACCAGAGTAGCAAAGCGATCCAAAGAAAGCATGTTTACAAATACAGACCGTCATAAGGACGGGCAGCACACGGTGGGGAGGTGTCTCAGTGTGTGGAAGAGGATTCAGCAGACTAAGGAATGTCTCCCTGTTCCAGTAGGAATTCTTTCCCTGCTGTCAGTGAAAGCTGTGGTGTAATAGCAATGTACTGTCTGGCTCTAAGTGTTACTGCACTGAGCCCCATTTCCTGGACTAGAAACTCTGAAACCCAACAAAGCTTTTGAATAGCTACACTGTGCCAACCACTGTTTGCGTTCAATAAAATGTAGGGTTTTTTTCCATTACTGTGTCTGCTGTATTTGTTCAACAGCCCATGAGAATTGCTGTCTTAGGCAGTAGAGAATGCACTGTTGCTATTCCACTGAGCCTCCACAGGTGAGTAGCCTGAAAATGGCTTTTCTCTCTGCACCGGTTGGTCTCCTTTTTAGACTGTTGTTTCCTACTTCCCTCTGCCTGAAGAGCAGCTCTCCTTTAAAGCAGTGGAAGACTACTTTTCCGTGTAGCAAGGTTGTGGTCTGCTTGATGTGTCACTAGGATTGTTATTACAATCCACTTGCATCAAACTGGAATAAAGTGACCAATTTGCTTGCCTTGCCTTAACTATTACTGCTCAAAGTGTTTGTGCTTGTTCATGGTTTTAAGCATGATACTGTCTTGGTCACTGCAGATGAAACTCCTCTTTGTGGTAAGCATCAATGTTTTTACACTTCAAAGACATGAAACCTACTCTTGTTCTCTTGCCAGTTTTGGGGGAGATCTTTAATGACTCCTTGCAAATTGATCCAGTAAATGCTTTGAGGTTTTCTATAGGATGAGCAAAGAACAAACAAGTTGTTTGCTTTCTTTTTCTTGCCTGAGTTCTTGCTGGCATTGTCTTGAGTGGTTGTTTCTAGATGATGTGATAAAAGCGAGCTCTAACCCAGTTCATCCCAGAGCTGTCAGAGGGCTGTAGCCCAGGTATCTGGGTATGAACCTGTCCAACAGTCAACTGGACAGGTTCTCTGGATCACTTTGCAGATTATGGGGAGGTTAGTCCCTCTGAGGGGCATGGAATGCAGGGGAACAGCATTTGGTGACTGTACAACTCCTGTTATGGGATGTGTAGGGGCAGGATCCATGGCAGGAAAAGGGGGAGTGGTCAAGTTGAGGAAGCAGCAGGGAAAAATGGGGAAAAGGACCCAGAAAGGGCTGGCTGCACATACGCAGTGCAGTTGTCTGCCTCTGCCCTGTCTGTGCTGTATTACTAAACCTCTTTCTCTCCCCTGTGTGAAGGGACTCTCTTCAGTGCATGTGGAGATCTAAGTGCCAGCAACTGGAAATACCTGAGTGCATGCATGCTGTGTGGGTGTGTATATGCATGTATAAGCAGCAGCAAAAAGCAAGTCAGAGTAGCTGGTAAGTGAGTGAGTAGGGTAAGAGACTTGAGATCCCTGATTTGGCATGGCTGCGAGTCTGGCGAGATGCTGGAGAGACCGGTCTGAGCACCAGCTGCTTCAGGTCCCAGCAGGTCCAAGCCAGCTACTCTCAGGTCTGGAGGTCAGCTCCTGGTAAGCCTGGACCAACTACCAGAGAACAGTTTGCATCTGTTTGTGTGTGTGCACATGAGGGGTCCGAGTGCCTACCACTGGAGTGGAGCTGCAGGCCTGGAGGACTTGTATGTCCTAGTGCTAGCAACTGAGGAGGCCAGTGCAGGCTCCAGATTGAGGAGCCAGCTCCTCAATAGGCACTAGAGGGATCCATAGTGTATGTATGTATGTATTTCCTGCTAACAGGTTCATCCTGATCAGCCAGAGAAGGGAATAGGATCAGGCTGTTTGTGCTGTGCTTTCATGACTGCTGTGCTTTCTGCCTCAGGCCAGTCAGGGACAGGGTGCATGCATATATATATGCATGCACATATTATATACATGAATATTTTGTGTGCATGAGTGCCTATTGAGAATACATTCTCAGGCTTGCTACTGTCTGTACCTGAGGACATGGAACTGAGCAGCCTCCTCTCTATGAGGCCAGCTTATTCAGCAGCTCCTAATGGTAGAAGCTGGAAGGGACCTTCCTGCTCAGAGCAGGCTGTTCAGGAGTGTATCCCATCAGTTTTTTAATACCTCCAAGGAGAACTCCACCACCTCCCTGGGTAACCTCTTCCTGTGTTCAACAGCTCTCACAGTAAGTTGGTCGGGTTCTTTGTTGCCTTCAAATGGACGTCACTCTGTTTTGATGTGTTTCCACTGCTGCTCCTTTCACTGGATAACATGGGTGGACTCTGGCTCCCTCTTCTTCACTCCCTCCCATCAGGTGTTTATATACAGTTACATGAGCCACCTAAACTTTCTCATCTCATGGTTGAATACTCCCAGCTCTCTCAGCCTCACCTCATGTGTCATATGCTCTAATCCCTCCAAAATTATAGTGGCCTTTCACTGGGCTTGCTCCAGTAAGTCTATGTCCTTTGTACTGGGGAACCCAGACTTGGACAAAACACTCTGCATGTCTTGACTAACCTTGAATAGTGGTTAAAAATTGCCTCCCTCCAGCTACTGCATTTGCTAAGGCAGTCCAGATACTGTTTGCCTCCTTTGCTACAAGGCCATATTACTGGTTCAGATTTAACTTGCCGTTCACTATGACCTGCAAGTCCTTTGTTGCAAAGTTGCTTTCTAGCCAGTCAGTCTCCAGCATGTACTGGGGTGCATGGGGCTATTCCTTCCCAGTTGCAGGGCTCTGCATTTCCCATTGTTCAGCTTTATGAGTAACCTCTCTTGCCATTTCTCCCATCTGTTAAGGTCCCTCTGAATGGCAGCACATGCATCTAATCTATCAACCACTCCATATTCTATCATCTGCATGGATAGGCTAACACATACGCATGACACAGACTCATCATCTTGTGTCAGCCTCATTGGGGCTTATCTTCTAGCCTGGATATCTGCATGTAGCAACTTCATTCATTATCTGTACTTCATGTTAAAAACATCTGTTACTAGGACTGAACTTACAAGATTCACAGTAGGAGCTTATCTTGTCAGATCTATCTCTTACTGTAGTTGCAGTGACTTGAGTAGCTAAAGTCTGCGTACGCTATGGTTTCATGTGCGTACTCTGCTGCTTCTCATGTTGAATAGAAACTAGCCTTCTTGCTTTAAGTTGCAGTTCTTTAGATTTCTGCTTTTTAATTCTTCTGTCATTTCTGGTTAAGCAAGACCTTTCCAGGAGCAGGACTTCCAATTTATAGCCTTAAGAATTTGGAGCATTGTACAGTTATGGAAACACTGATAGCTATCTGCAGCAGTAGCAGCTGAATGGCTAGCACTCACCTTCACCAACTTAGACTTAGCTCAAGCACTGAAATCCAAATCTTGAGATGACTACTTTCCCTATGTAGGAGAAAGTTGTAGGAACATCAGTGAGAGATTCTCCACCCCCCTGCCCAGACAGTCTGTTCTGCAGGAGAATGAAGTACTACTCACTTGTATTTCATCAAACTACACCAGTAGCTTCTAATACTTCTCGTGGTTTCGGAATAAACACAGGAGCTGTAAAGAGATGGACTTGGCTAATGTACAGATACAGCTGTAACTGGATTTAGCTGCATATGGATCCTTCAGTCCTAATGCAACTGCACTGCCACATTGAACCTGCAGTTAAATGGACAAAGACCATTGGCTCAAACACCTGAACATGGATGTAAGGACCCTGCTGGAACTTTCAACATATATGGCAAAGTAAAGGCTTGAGTCATGTTTGAAATAAACCAAAAAACTCCAGCACAGCCTGCTCTGCCACAGGTTTATTTACAAAATATTATTTACAGTCTATAAGTGTCTTGAGCTCTGATAAATAATAACATTTCCTCCACAGAGAAGGAATAAGACAGACCACCTACACATCTTTCTGTTACAGATACCCTACCCAGCCAAACAAGTCTATTCCCTTTTAAAAAGGGGAAGAGAAGAATGGGTACCTAGAGGATTTTATGTCTGTGGCACAAGTATTAAGCAGGTCAAGGAGTTTGAAATCTCCCCCCTGAATTGTGCATGTGCGAAACAGCAACATGCTGAGGTTACGTGATCACACAAGTTAGAGCTGCTACTCCCAACTTCCCTTCAAAAGAAGGAAGTATACCAGGAGTTGGTGTTTAAGGCAAGAACAGTTGAATTAAAACATATAACCCTTACCGGCAGCCTTATGAAAGACTGAATGGTTTCTCCCTGTTGTAAAATAAGGAAGAGACAAGGCTGCTGAAGTGATAAGGGATGTATGCCAGGGAGTAAATAGGCCCAGTCTCTACACGTCTGGGGCCTTGTGCATGTTTCCTGATGTCCCAGTCCATCTGAACCCTCATTTCCAATCTTAAAACATTATCCACCCTTCCCTCACAACCTGCTTTGTATGTATCTTTGTTTCCATGTGATATGCCAAGAGTCTGAAACGCCAGTATGTGGACTACAGGGATTTCTTAGTGCTGCACAGAATGGACTACATAAGACAGGGCTGAGGACAGTTTCTAAGACCAGTGCTCTGGAACGTACTGATGGCTGCTGTAGAGCTGAAGCGAGTGGAACAGAAATGAGAGAAGGTGGTGTTGCCTCAGGAGTTTTTCCAGTTCTGGTTGTTTTGCTTTGCTTGTCCCAGTCACTCATTTGGAAGCAATTACCATAGGAATGATTCCAAGTGATATCTGGTAGGAATGGGCATTTAGCAAGTTTAAGGGAGCAATGACTGATCACTCCTTAAAGCCTTGGATGCTACACAGGATCCTCTTCTGGTGGCCTGGAAGTGACACTCCCATCTGTTTCAAGTCCCTGAAGGAAATGGGAAAAGAGAAGAAAAATGAATTGCTGTTTTTCTTTGGGACTGGGATTGGGGGTAAGGGCAGAAACAACTACCAAGCATTAGTTCATAAAGCTTCCTTTCTCTCAGCACCTCCTACTACACTTACCTTTTCTCTAGAGGGAAGAAACTTCTAGATGTTCCTGCCCTTCAGTGGTCTGCCCAGCCAGTCAACTGTTTTCTCTCACCTTGTGACTAGGCATGTGTTCCCATTAAGCCAAGATTGTCTATGTTAGTTTGTGATACAGGCCTTGTCTCAACCCTTTAGCAGGTCTGTGCCTGCACATTTGTTTTATGTAACTCCCCTGGGCAGACCTGGCTTTGCACCCCCAACCCTACAACAGAACGCAGCTGTGCTGGTAAAGCATCTGGTGTGAGTCCTTCTAAGGAGCCCAGAAGGACTTTGCTCTGTGCCAGAACAGTGCCTGGCTGACTGGGGGAAGAGATATCAC